AAAGCATTTATGCGCGGTGTTTTGATAAAAATGAATAATTTTTATAAGCGAAATCAGACTCAGAAACGTAGAGAACTTGAAGATGAAATTAAACTAAAAGAAAGGGCTTTGATTCTAAATCCTTCTGATGAAAGTACTAAAGAATCTGTAAAGTTATTAAGGTCACAATTTAATATGTTGATAGCAGATCAAGCTGCAACCAATTTATTATTTATGAAACAAAATACATTTTGTAATGCTAATAAGCCGGGGAGATGGTTGGCTTATCAATTAAGAAAGAAACAGAGACTGAGAATAATAGAGAAAATAAATTATAAGGGTAAACTAGTTTCTCAGAAGGAATTAATTAAAAAATCTTTTTTGGATTATTATCAAAACCTATACAAATCTACTAATGTACAACTGCTAGATATAAATAAATATTTAGCTGAGGCAAGTTTTCCTAAACTGACTGAGGATCAGAAATATGAAATTAATGGTTTAATTACTAAGGAGGAAATCGCCTCAGCAATTCAACAATTGAAATTAGGGAAAGCACCGGGTACGGATGGGTTAACAGCTGTTTATTATAAAGCTTTAATGGAGGAGATGATTCAACCATTAAATGATCTTTTTAATGGTATCTTACAGGGTTTAGAGATTCCTCCTTCATGGCGTAGTGCTTTTATATCATTGATTCCAAAGGAGGATCAAGATCTTACTTTACCAAAAAACTATAGGCCTATATCTCTTTTAAACGTGGATTATAAGATATTTGTAAAAATTTTGGTAAATAGGCTTATGAGGGTGGTGCATCATCTTGTGCATAAAGATCAATCAGGGTTTATAACAGGAAGGTATATGAAAAACAATGTTAGACAAATTATTAATTTATTAGAATACTTAGATAAGAACAACCAAGTTCCTGCAGGGCTCATATTTTTAGATGCTGAAAAAGCATTTGACCAACTGAATTGGCATTTTATGCTAAGAGTAATGGAAGAAATGAATTTTGGTGAAAACATATTACAAGCCCTTAAGGTAATATATCAAAAACAAACAGCACAACTTATTGTTAATGGAGGTTTGTCGGAGGTTTTCACAATAGAGAAAGGTACTAGACAGGGGTGTCCTTTATCGCCATTGTTGTTTGTTTTAACATTGGAAATATTATTGATTAAAATTCGAGAGTCTCAGGAAATTAAAGGAATATATGTTAATAAAAAAGAATATAAGTTGAGAGCTTTTGCGGATGACTTGGTTGTTACTTTGTCGCAACCTGATTATTCTGTAGTAAACTTATTACAGTTGATTCACCATTATGGTTTGGTCTCGGGTTTTAAGATTAATGTAAATAAGACTAAAATTTTACCTAAAAATTTGTCGAGTCAGGAGAAGCAGATTTTGGTTAACTCGACGGGTTTTGAGATTGTTAATAAGGTAAAATATTTGGGGGTGATGCTGTCTGTTTCTAATGCAAAACTATTTAAAAATAATTATGAAAGGTTGTGGGTCGGGGTACAGAAAGACTTGAAGAATTGGGAAAAGCTGCAATTATCCCTCATGGGAAGAATTGCAGTGATAAAAATGAATATTCTACCCAAGTTTCTTTTTTTGTTTCAAATGTTACCAATTTTGAAAAATGAGATTAATTTAAATGAGTGGCAGAAGGGTCTCAATAAATTTATTTGGGCAGGGAAAAAACCAAGGGTTAAGTTCAAAATTATGCAAGACTTCCGTGAGAGGGGCGGACTCAAGGTACCAAATTTGAAATTATATTATGATGCGGTGGTTTTAACATTAATTAGTGACTGGGTAAATTTGACAAATTCTGAGATACTTTATCTAGAGGGATGGGATTTACTTTATGGGTGGCATGCCTATTTAATATTTAATAAAAAAATAGATTGGGCTTTTAAATCTCATATTTTAAGAATTTCTTTACTTAGGATTTGGAGAAAATATTATAAAAGTGATTTTAAAGTACCATTATGGGCTATACCTTGGCATGCGATAGAAGGAATAAAAAGAGGGGTTAAAATGGATATGGTGTCTTACAGACAGTTACTTAAATGGGATGGACAAAACTGGCAATTAAAATCACGGGAAGAATTAGCACAAGAAAATTTTACTTATTCTTGGTTCCAATATAGGCAACTACTAGATAGATGGAAGATGGATTGTAAGGTGGGTTTTCTTAGAGAAGATGAAAATCTTATTAAGCAACTGAAGGATCAAAGACAAACCCACATTAAGAGAATTTATGGGGTTTTAGTTGAATTGGACTCAGAAACGGAACTAATTAAAGATTGTATGATTAGATGGGCGCAGAACTTTGGTGAGCCAGTTTCATTGGACACCTGGGAAACTATTTGGGTGAGAAATGTCAAATTTACTCAAGCACAGAATCTAAGGGAGAATTTTTATAAAATGTTTTATAGATGGCACCTTGATCCACAAAAAATGTCTTACATGTACCCTGACGTGCAACCTAAATGTTGGAGATGTGGTTATAAGGAGGCTTCCTATTATCATATTTGGTGGTCATGTAGAGAGATAAAAGCATTTTGGATCAAAATATGGTGGAATATCCAGAGAATTTTTAGAAGGAGGGTAAAATTTACTCCGCAATTATTTTTGTTAGGTATTGTTACAGATTGTGATACAAAGGAGGTTGTATTGATGTTAAACTTGATCACAGCCGCGAGGCTGTTAATTGGACAATATTGGAAGAAGGAATCTTTGCCTACATTGCAGGAATGGTTTTTTAAAGTAGCTTATCTGGCAGAAATGGCAAAGATTTCGGCTTTCTTAAAGCAACAAACGCAAGAGAAGTTTTTTGCTATCTGGGACAAATGGATAAAATTTATACAATTTAGATTGGGTATACAAAAATATTATATAGCTTTTTCATAAGTTTTATTTTTATATATATTATAGATATCTTTTTTATATATATAAATATAAAGTTTTTAATTTAATTTTTATTTTTTTTTTTTTTTTTTATTATTTCTTAAGCCTATATTCTGCTCTGGGAAGCTCAGGGGGGGGGAAGGGAGGGTTTTTGGGAGGGGTGTGGGGTGGGGGTTTTTTTCTATATGTATTGTTTAATTTTTTTTTCTTTTGTATATGTTGTTTTTTGTTCTGTATTGTTCTTGTTTTTTTTTTTGTAAAATTTATAAAACTTTTAATAAAAAGACTCCGATAATTTGGATGTGGTGAGTCTGCCACAGAAATTCATTCATTTGTGTAAATCTAGAGGGGACAGATTATTGTTTGAAATCCAGGAATATGTGCTTAGCATTTCCTGAGTTGGTTAAGTAATAAAAGCCTTTCAAATCAATTTCTCTATTTTGGCAATTTAGGAGCTGAGATAGTGAAGTCACAGTAGTCTTATGGTGGTTCCAGCTATGACCATTCTGATGTATTTCCAGGAGTTGCTTTTTCTGTATGATGGTAGATGAGTGCTTCTGGATGCACAGTCGATATGGGATGCCACCATAACCAGCTTCTGCTACAAATTTAACCATGGAGGATTTGCAGATAAGCACTAGTTGGAAGCTGCCATTTATCCATTGCAGTATGAAAACCAAACAATTTGTTCTGCAGACAAAAAGCAGACTTCATGGTAAGAGGGGAATAGTGTAGCTGTAAGGGGACAGGGGATGCAGGAGACTTACTCCAGAAAATTATCCTCACTACTTCCCTACTCCAGGGAGTGGCTTGCACTGAAGCTTAGGAGGATTTCGGGAGGGTGCTCTTATTCCTGGCTTTTGTGTTGGCAAATTCTTTGGAGATGAAGGGGATCCTGAAGTTGTAGATCTGCTACTCACATTTTTGATTGCCTCTGCGATGGGGAAATAGAAGTCAATCCTCATCTGTTTTTCTGCTTTGTTGGATTTATGGGCCCCTATATCATTACTGGGGTTTGCCCAGCTTCTTTCCTTACTTCTGGATGCCATTTTTAGGTTGAAGGCCTGAGCCAGAGGGCTGAGAGGATGGAAATTCATTTCAGGAGCTGCTAGATTGTTTCCATCTTGTCTCTTCCCTCCCATTTTTTAATAAGAGCAGGAAATAAAACAAGGAATGGGACTGTGCAGATGTGACCAATGGATTTGTTCTCCATCTCAATGATGCAATGCCTTATTTTCTTTTAAGTGAAGTTAACTGAAGGATTCACTCTTGGAAAAGATAGCCGCACGGGAACATGCTAAAATTGTTAGACCTGTATTCTACTAAGCCGCTACTGTGTATATTGACTGATAATGATTCTTTTGTATTCAAGCAGACTTATTTTCCCCAGAACTAATTAGAAATGTCAGGAATTTAACTAGTGATCATTTTTATACTAAGCAAGATCTCTACAATGAACAACAAAATCTCTCCAGGTAAAGAGCTGGAGGCAATGGAGTCATAAGGGCAAAGAAGACTAACACTGATGACAGGAGGTAGTCTGATTCTCACTGCCAAGGAACCTGTAGAGATGTACATAGCACAACTCCAGGTTGCTAAGAAATATACACTTTTCTTTGAACACTGTCACAAGGATGAGCATTTTACCAATATTTAATAATCTGACGAAAGGTCCAGTTGTCACACTTGCACAACTGTAGCGATGGCAAATATGTGTAACTACTGTAATGAAAAACATAATTATAAGAGAGATCCTGGAAGTCTTATGACATTTATGACAAAAGAGATAAAAATCTTCAAGTGCTAACCATGTCTGATATTCAAATTAAAATGTAACATATATATTCCCAGGAGATCTTATGTCACACAAATTTTATTCTTCCATTTCCTCCCCTTACATTCTATGCACAATGTGTCAGAGCAATGTAAACCGACAGTAATGATATGCAATGCCTGCACAGTTTCTTGGCAGCTGTTGGTCTAGAAAGTTAAAAATTTAAATTAAAAACAAGTAAGAATCACAGAGGATGCAATTAGTATGGGAAAACCTGGCAACAGTCAAGAATAAAAAAAAAAATACAAGGAGTAACTTAAGCCTTTTTTTTTACCTGCCTGGATGATGAGCTTTGCACATTCATTACACGGAAACAGAGCAACATATATGCTGCAGCCTTTCACATCAGCAGAATTCTTGTTCATTATGGCATTCAGTTCAGCATGACATACTGATTAAAGAAAAAAGATTTCAACAAATATTATTATGTGTGTTCATTAAAGAAGATCATCAATCTAAAACTTAACAAAGTGTTAACTGCAAATGCCCAATTCATTCCAGAAGCAAACACCAATACAAGTTGTCACACAAGAGAAATTTAGCAGGGGAGACAGAAGAGAAACCAAGATCAATGGAGGTCAAGTGGTCTGTCCAGGCTAGTAAAGAGGAATGAAATAATTAAGAACATTAAAAGGGCCATTCACAAACACCTACAGGACAAGTCAAGGCCATAGGCTGAACATTAAGTAATTTCAGCCAATATGTCATAGCACTATTGCTCCCAGAGAGTATCTAATTACCTACATAAAGGAGTTCATTTAGGGGCCTACATGCATGGATACATTCTTTTGATGAGGCATGTGAACTTTGTATTCCCAAATACAAAGAGTTATGACAAAAAAGCAAATAGTCCTGTCCTCCAAATAACTGGCAACCAGGGCACAGAAAAGATGACTAGCACAAAGAACGCCTTTTAGAAAATTACTCTGCCCTATTACTACTATTATTAATGCTCAGTAAGAATTCTGAAACACAATTAAAACAGTTATTTGATAACCAGATTATCATAAACAACCTGAAAATTAATGTTTATAAATTCTAGGAGACACAAGTATTTATAAAGAAACTATAAATTTATCAGTATAAAATGTATTCTTTTGGCAGTATATGTGTTAAACAAATTAGCAATGATTTGCCTATTTGTGATCACTGTCTGCAAGCAAAATCTTCTCTATCTAAAAGCCAAAGCTGGCAAATTCAATTATCTGCAGCATGTTCAGTGGGACTGGAAATCACTTTAGTTTCACACATTGTTTGATATATTGGCAGCAGGAGTTGTTGCCTCTGATGTACAAAACCAGTTCTATGATTCTTTGGGTGTTGGTCTATGTCAGGGGTAGGCAACCTTGGCTCTTTTATGACTCGTGGACTTCAACTCCCAGAATTCCGTAGCCAGCCATGCTGGCTCAGGAATTCTGGGAGTTGAAGTCCACGAGTCATAAAAGAGCCAAGGTTGCCTACCCCTGGTCTATGTAGTCAAATTCTTTAAAGATTTTTCTCAAGACCACCAAGAACCAGAATCCCGTGGAGCTTTAAAGATTTATTATGTTGCTATGATAATACCATGCAAAGCAAATTCTATGTACCTGGATTTCAAGATATTCTTTTGTATAATCAAGCTCAGCTTGTCACTATGATCTTCCCTTGCACTGACCCTCCATCCCACCACTAACTGAACTGATAATTCTCACATTTCCTAATTAGAACAGTAGTTGCCAGCTGAGTTTCAGAAGCTGCTGTCCCAAAATATACATTTATCTATATCTGTAAAATATCAGACTGGGGAAACTTTGGCTATTAAAGAGCAATATTGTTAAACTGCATATATTACCATTATGAATATTTACAATTTTAATGAATTTAATGAAGAACATTCATTTCTAAGCAACATTAAACAATCCATGATCTGATGGGTCATCCTTTCAGAGATATTTCCTTACCTAAACAGAGAAGCAGGATGACCATGGATGGACAAAAAACTGGGAGCGGAAATGACTTCCAATCAGTTTCTCCATTGACTTTGCTTGTGGAAAAGTGGCAGGGAGCGTTGGAAATCACAATCACATGATTGAAGCTAACTGCAGTGATACAGTGGCTACAACTTTGCAGATAGAACTAGTGTGAAGATCCTTGAAATTTCAGTTACACAGGTATAATAAATCCCAGATTTTGTACACAAGCGTTAAGTTAATGGATTTGAGATAAACTGATTCAAAAAAATTTGCACTATGATGCATCATTTGGGAAATTTGAAGGTAGAACAATGTTGAACCGAAAATAATTTTACACAGGCCTAGTCAACTGTCATTATGGCAACCAATTTTGGACAATACACCTTAATGCTCTGAAAATTCCAGAGGTGTCCTCCAGACAAAAATATTTAGGCACCCTGCCTCATCCAGTACAGATTTGTAACAGTACCAATTACTACACCAATCCAAAAACAAAGGAATTTGTTTGTGGATTTCATAACAAATCAACAAAATAAAATAATATGCTCTTTAGAAATGAAGAACATCCAAATCAGAAGCACAAAAATTATACCAGAGGTCAATTTGGATTAAATTTCAGAAACATATTTTGGAAAGTTTCCACAGTTGCCAGGTAACCTTAGGAAAAGACTAGACTCCTTTAAAGACTTGGAGACTTGAATGACATCTTTGGAATTGGGTCCAAAATCCTGTAAAGCAGGGGTGTCAAACTCAATTTCATTGAGGGCCGGATCAGCATTGTGGTTGTCTTTGGGGGGCTGGGTGGGTGTGGCCAGAGTGGGTGTAGCCTACTGGGTGGGCGTGGCCAGTTCTACATCATTCACGTCAAGGGTGCCTATGGGGACCTGAGAAGGAGTGGGACAGATCTGAGGGTCACTGGCAGAAGGGGGTGGGACCGGGGCAAGTGCCAAGGCATGCTCCACCAGGGCAAGTGCCAAGATGGCCACCACAAAATTGTACATTGGCTCCCGGCTGGCCTTACTGTTTCCAGGCTGGCTTCGTGGGCCACATGAAACCACTTCGTGGGCCATATCCGGCCCCCGGCCTTGTGTTTGACATGTCTGCTGTAAAGCTTTAATTTATACATTAATGTTATCCAGGATGAATTGGATTTCACCTTGGATTTAAAGAATATTAGGAATTATATCCTTTGCATGAATGTACTTTTGTCATAACACGATTTTTTTTTCAAATCTTGAGTAGACATTCTTAGCATCTCAAATTACTCTTGACAGAAGGATGTAACAGACACATAGGTAATAGACCAGTCAATACAGCAGGAAATCGAAGTACATAGAGGTTAGATGGGCAGTATTCACTGAAACAAAGCCATTATATCTGAATAGTTAGTAATATTATTTTAGTCCAAAAATCTAAATGTCAGACACACCAAATAATATAAAAGATGGGACAAAAATGCGCCCAAATCCCCCAAAGAAATTAAGAACAACAGAACAGAAAAGTGAACTTGCCATGCAATTCCTTTTCCTACCATGGAGAGTATTCATAGCTGGACTACTTTTCATCTTTGGTATGTAGGATAAAAGTATTTTATTCTATGGTCCACAGATGGCAGTAGAGAACAATCTCCAGACTAGTTAAGGGACTGATAAACACCAGAAAGAACTACATAAGGTTGAAATGGAAGAAAAGCAGGCGTAAACATAGATACTACAGATGTATACAGCAAAAAAAAAAAAAAAAGGCTCACTAAAATATAATAAATCATCAATAGAAAAGGAATTTCACCAGTCAACTTGTACTACAAAATCATAAATGAAAATGGCAGAAGGATGGTAAGTGTAGGGCAGGGGTCGGCAACCTTAAACACTCAAAGAGTGGACCCGTTTCCCACAGAAAAGAAAACACTGGGAGCCACAAAACCCTTTTGACATCTAAAATGAAGATAACACTGCATATATCATTTTTTATCTTTGTGCTATGTATAAAAAACTATATTGTGTTGCATTTATGAAATCAATGAACTGCTACAAAAAAACCAAATTTTTATTTCTGCATGCAACAAAAACATTTTGAACTCCAAAAAAGCAAGACTCTGTATCAAAGGTTACTTTCAAATAAAATACTCAATTTCTATCTGAGTCCTCCTCGTGTTTATGAAATAAAAAGCCGATGGTGCAAACTATAAAAACTACAAATAGAAAAATAGAAAAGAAAAAAATTGTGAGGAAAAAAAAGGACAGGAGAAAGAGGGGGAAAAAAAACCTTTCTCCTTCATCCCAACAGGTAAAAACAATTTTAGTAGCTTATCTACCATCTTTAAATACAGCATAATTATCCCCATACCTCATCTCTTAATTAAAAAAAATCAAAATATTTCATTAAACATTCTTTACTAAAAGTCCAGTAAGGACAACCACATATATTCATATTCTCTCTCCCTCTTTCTCCCTCCCTCTCCCACTTTCCCTCCCTCTCCCTCCCTCCTTCTGCCCTTGGGTCTGCCAATCCTCTTCCCCCCCTCAGTGTGTTTGTGTGTGTGTGTGTGTGTGTGTGAGAGGGACAAAGACAGAGAGGCACTTGCGCTTCTCTCTCTCTCTCTCTCTCTCTCTCTCTCTCTCTCTCTCTCTCTCTCTCTCTCTCGGGAGGGGGGACTTTAAGGCAGCGGACCTTCTGGACCTCCATCTTCTTGCAGGTTCCAACAAACTGCTTTGTATCTCGCTGAGCTCCACAGGCTGTCAAAATAGCTGCAATCGGAATATGCAGATAAATCAGCCTTAACCTGGCATTGAAGGCAAGCGGAGGCAGCGGACGGAGCAGGCAGGGTTCACTCCTAACATCTAGCCTGGGACCCGAGGCAGCTCCTTTGGACTAACAGACTGCTTGCTAGCTAAGCACTCGGAGCTGGCAGCCTGGCGAGTCTGACTGCATGCCGCAGCCGAGCTGCTGCCAAAAAGGCCACCCCCATTTCTCCTCTGCCACTTGCCCTTCCCAGGATGTCCTGGCACTCTCTCTTGCTCGGCTGCGGTGTGCAGTCAGATTTGCTGCGGGTCCCTGGCTAGATGTTGGGAGAGAGAGAGAGAGGGAGAGAGAGAAGGGAAGTGCAAGTGCCTCTCTCTGTCTCTGTCTGTGCAAATGGCCTGGGAGCCGCAGTAGAAGGCTGAAAAAACCCTATGAAGATCCAGAGTCGCAGGTTGTCGACCCGTGGTGTAGGGTAATCTGTGCCCTGTAGAAGGTAACAGTTACCTTGAATGTGGGCCTCTTCTGTTGTTCCAGGGTAACAAAAACCACTGAAAATTAACAGGATGATCATACACGTTGATCAATTAACTCCTGCTACTGTAAATGTTTTGTCATAGGGTATATTCCTGTGGAAACCTAGGATTTCATTAGGACACAGACCCAAAGCAGCTCTTTACGATTGTTTCCCCCCATTGATTATGAAAGCATATCAGAACTGCTGGCATTAATTTTGTTTTCTCCCATTCTAATTCTACAAGCAGAATTAAAAATTACCCAGATGAATTCCAATGCTCAATTCTTGCTAACACCACTACTTTACTTTTTAAAGTGCCCATGAGAATGTTTTTGTTATTACTGTTCAATATTAACCTAACACTTTTCTAACCACGTGTGTGTGTGTGTGTGTGTGTGTGTGTGTGTGTGTGAACATGGCTATTTCTAATGACTTTAGGAGAGAATATTTGTAGCATTAGATTGAACTGTAGGATCCTTAGTGCTCTTTGAGCTTGGTCATTTTCTTGAAGTCGTTTCATTATCCAACTACATAACATCATCAGTTCATCTAATTATAGGTAATCCCCGAGTTACGAACGTTTTCTTAACACTCGTTCAAAATTATGTGATGAGTGCCCCCTAGTGCTTACGAGCAAGTCCCGAAGTTATGAATACTGCAGCACCACAGCAGTCGTTCGCCCTTACAAGCGACCGCAGTGGCTCTGTAACTTTCACCCTGGTTATTCCCTCCCTCCCCGGGTCTCCCTAGGCACCAGGCCTTCAATACTCACCCTATGAAGATCAAGATCCTTCGCTTTCTTGGCTGCTCCAGGCCTTTGGTGCATTTGCAAAGAATGGAGGCCTAAAGTAACACAAGGTCACTCAAGATCAATGGGGCGAGAGCTCATGCTACTGATCTCATGGTACTTTCGGCTTCTGTTCTCTGCAACAGAGAATGGAACCAAAGCTGGGGGACGCTTCCATGTGCCTCCGGAGGCTGGATCGGAGCTCTGGAGGCCTTTTCCAGGCTGTTGCAGCCTGGGTCTAAGGCTAGGGGAGGCTTCTGCATCCCCCCCCCGCGGCCTGATCCAGGCTCTGGAGGTGTTTTCCAGGCCGCTGCCACCCAGATTTGAGACCGGGGAATGCTTCTGCAGCCCCCCATGGCCCAATCAGGCCTGGAAAAGGCCTCCGGAGCCCGGATTGGGCCACGGATGGTGCACGAAAGCGTTCCCCAGCCTCAAATCCAGGCAGCAGCAGCCTGGAAAACGTCTCCGGAGCCCAGAGCTGTGGCAGAGAGGAAACTGATCTTTTCCAGGTAAGTCCAGCACATCAGGAAGGGAGGGGGAAGCATGTGGGTATCTTAATGGGTTGGGGAGGCCTTGGGGGCCTGTTCCAACACTAGGTCCTCCATGGCCTTCCCCATTCTGAGATACCTCATGTTCGCTTAACGAGCCGTGTGTATTTTAACGAGCAAAGGAGTGATCTCGTACCTCGAACGAGATTCACTCTATGAGTTTTCGAGTTATGAGTTGAATGGGCAGGCTCCATTACACTCATAACTCGAGGACTACCTGTACCTTGTTATCTATTTAAATTCTATTGTAACGATAAAGGCAGTATAAAATATTAGCCTCTCAACTTTCTCTTTCAGATTGACTAATAGAACATCCTACTTCAGGACAACTTCAGTTAGTTTAAGTATATCAGCCAGCATTTCTGTATACTAAAATAGCAAATCTTCAATTGTCACGAGTGTCTAGCTTGGGCCAGACATCAGGCCTCCTCCATTACAGTTCTCCTTATAACGGTTTTTTCTATTCACAGAGTTGTTTTCTGGGAGTCCACTTCTAATGCCTGTTCAACAACCCCTTCTTCCTCTACAAGTGCATTCTCCTATGAGAAAATAATTCCCAATCCTTGCTTCTCTTATCCACTATCTAGCACAAAGAATTTGTTTGGGTATATGAAAAGCCAGACATGGCTGAATGCAAGATGTCTATCTATCTTTCTGCAGAAGTAACTATACTTGGTCACAGTCACAATCTAACAATTTGCCAAAAGGTCTGTGCCTGACTGGAATTATATACTAGTTCTTGAGCTAAAGAAGTCTGTGCATGGTGATTGCTCTCTGCTCAGCCATAATGCCAGGTTGATTGGAGGGAAGGTCACTTTTCAAACACCCAGAAAGATGAGGGAGAACTGAACTTGGAAAGTTCACTGAGAAAACTTTTCAACTACATTAGTCCAGTTTGAAGTCAATCAAAAAAGCATTAATTATGCCCTAATCCCTTGGGTCCTTGGGGATAGCCCCATAATTCCACTTCCTGAATAGGTTATCAAAAACGGTCCTTTGAGCAAGAATGAGAGAAAACCACCTGGGTGAGTACTTATTCTGGTGAAGTGATTGTTAAAAAAAAAACCCCAGCCTTAAGAATGGCAGTCGCAACTACCTGAGGCCTCTGCTGTGTCCAGGGAAAGTCTTATAGGAATAGAAAAGGAAGAAAAAATCCACAGAAATTTAGAAAGGAAAAAGTTTAGAATTTTTGTAGCAGTCTGCTTACAAATAGACAGAAAATGTTTGGGAGGCTGCTCATTGCTGCCATGTAGGAGCTATAAAATAAAATTCTTTGATCCTGCCTAAAAGGAGAGAGGCACCTCAGGCAATATTATCTTCTGTTTCCATCAGGAAAAATAAAGACCTAATTTAATCATTACATTCCTTACCATATGGATATTTTGTGTTGAGTTTATTATCTGCTGTTCTTGTCCAAGGCAGAAGATCATCACTGCATCCATTAGGCATCCCATTGTATCCAATTCCAACAATCTTGTTTTCTGAATTCACAATGCAAGCACCAACCTAAAACAGAACATCTAGTTTACTGTTTCACTACTGTGATCCATACACCTGTTGACTATGGTCAGAAGGATAAGATGCAGAAATATTAATTGATGTATCAAGTTTATTGAATTTTGAGGCTGCCCAATTCCATGATCTCTTGCTCAATATTATTCAAATGATATTATATTAATTTATGGGTGCTGACAACCAAACTGAAGAACAGAACACCAACTACAAACCAACTATAACTATATGAGGCTCCACAATCACCTATCTCAAGGCACAGAGAACAATCAGATCTTTAAGTTTTCAAAAGATTGGGAGTCACATGAATCTTGGGATGAGACAGGAAGAGCTATAACATAATAGGTGCACTTCCTAATTTCCCTAAGATGACATTGTTTACTCAATGGAACCTGGAGCACACCTACCTGAATTCATCCACCTCTAGCATTAGAGGTTCAGGTTATCTCAATGTGCCTTAAAAATTGGTATTTTAACTGCAGACCTTCCTAGACAGAGACAGCCTATTTGATTTTCATCCATGTATACAATGCATTGTATATGATGGCTTTTCAAGCCTGCCAAGAAGTTATAATTGCAAACACAACTGCAAAATTACAGTATACATATATACGGTATATATATGAAAAAGACAAATAAATAAGTTCCCCTTTTATCAAGACAACTAAATATCAGTAACTTATCACCTTCTCTAACATGCACATAAAAGATCTCTTCTTCTCATCTTATCTCTTATCTATAAACAAATTATAGCTTCACCATTCAGTCCTAACCAGTAAAAATCTATTCAGTTACCAAAACCCAACATGCATTTTAAATTTAATCAAATAAATGTTTCATATGCCTTTACTTTACTTTTATCACAGTAACTTATCAATTTTTCTAAAATCACAACATATCATATCTGTAAACAAATCTTTAAAACCTCATCATTTAGAACTGCTCATGTAAAATGGATTAAGAACTACCAGAATCTTAATCTTTAATCCCTTCAGTTTCCAAGTTGATTTATTATCATTTTCTGTCTTCTCTCAGAAAATTTAACGTCAGAAATAATACCTACTTTTTAACCCTAATCAAATAAATTGTAATCTTTTCTTTATAACACCATAACTTTTAACACTTTCTCTAAAAAAAAAAACCTCTCCTTCCTATATCTTATCTATAAGCAAATAATAGAAATCTTTATCATTCAGTCCTAATTAGGAAAAACCCATTAAGAACTTTTAGAAAAATCATATATATTTTAGCCTTGATCAAATAAGCCAACTTTATATTCCCACTTTTTGTTTTAAAAAATCTTGATCTTTTTTCCCTTTAAATTGTGTCTCAAAAGTTATTAAGACATCAGCCAATTTCATTTATAAATTCAGTGTAATATCTTTGTCCATATCATTCTGGTAATTTGGCGGTGCAAGCCTCCCCTGCCATTCCCTCCACCTGCCAGATGCTGTGTCTCTCACCTCCTGAGCATCTGCCCTAGAAAGCCCTGTAAGCTATTGCGGCTACAGGCAAGCAGACGGTGGGAGAAAGAAGGCAAGTGGCTTCAGTGGATGGCTGGCAGGTGAAGTCTTTCGCTGTCACTCCCCCTTAGCTCCAAGATGGAATAAGAGGGACCGGGTAAAGCGACTGAGCCTCCCCCATCCATCCTCCGTAGCATGGCAGTCCGGCTTGGGTAGGGAGTGAAAAGGAAGAGGCAGACAGGCAGCCAGGTCATTGAATAGGCAGGGGGAGGTCGCCAAACAGGGAGTGGCATGGCTGCGGATACTGAGGTGAGTGAGTCCACTCCCCTACCTGCTTCACGTCACCTCATGGCTACAGTATAGGTGCAATACGCAGTCTCCTTCTCCATTGCAGCAGCAAGCAACCAGACAGTGGGATGGAGTGGGCAAGAGGCCGCAAAGTCAGACATCCCCCGAAAATAAGCCCTAATGGGTCTTTTGGTCCAAAAAAAAAAAAAAAAAAAAGACCGCATCTTGTTTGGAGAAACATGGTGTGTGTGTGTGTGTGTGTGTGTGTGTGTGTGTGTGTGTGTGTGTGTGTAGTCTTTAATAATCTAAAAGGAAGAGTAGGAACATTAGATGGGTATAGAAGGAGCATAAAAGTGAGTACTTGCAGACTAAATCTATCATAATATAAAGCACTCAAATAAGAAGTTAGATTCTCATTAAAATTAGTTTAAGCTCTGCTAAGCAACACCTAGCAACATTATATGTTATAGCAGGATTAATATCTGAAATCATAATATACATTTCTTAGGACATTGTTCCCAAACATCCTTGAATTCTTCCAAAGAATTTTCCCCCATTTTGTATTAGTGGATATCATTTTAATTATAATGTTTAGTACTTTCTGATTGCCTCTTGTGTCTAGTCATCAAAGTCTCATATTTTTCTCTAATCAACAATATCTTCCCATTTTAATTTTAGATTCAAAATCTTAATACATTATTAATAGGATTTTAAACAACCCACAGAAAGGATTGGACAAAGCTGGCTTCTAATCAGCTCCCAGAACTCTAAAACCCGCCAGACCACTTTGCGGGAAGCCTCTATATGAAGCATTTTTGGTGTTCCTAAGTCCTTGTTCCACTGTGGTTGTTCAGTGTTCACTGCTTCTCTGGAACATATAAGCAATTTAGATAGAGGTTTCATGTTTGCATTTGTTCTGTTGTTTTTTTTACAAGTGATCAAAACTTTTTCTGGGCTTTGTTGCTTACTTTGACTGCCTCCCATTTGGGGCAAACTTACTGCAGCTTGCCTCCTCAAGATCCAACAGACAACTGCAGTTCTCTCAAGCGAGAAGTCCTTTGGTATACTGTAAATTTAAATTTAATTATTAAAATTGAATAGTATATTTATTTGTTGTTTAAAATTAGCCCAAATGAAATTATTTTTATTCATGCATGCAATCACAAAATTCAATGATCATTGTTGGGGTCACCATGTTAGAAACTTTGAGAATTTCTTTATTATAGAGTATCTTCACTCAAATTAATGTTTTTTTTTATTTAAAAAGTTTTATTAACAATTAGCAGAATAAACCCACTAACCCACCCATCCCCACCCTCCTACCCCCCCCCCATTTCCCAGAGCCGAGTACAGGGTTATTACAAACATTAAACATAATCTAATTAAATTTAAAAATAGGTTAAACATAATCTAATTAAATTTAACAATTTATACAACAATTAAATTCATACTTAACCCTTAACTCCCTTTAAACCTTAATAACATATTATAAACAAATCCATTTTTAAACAATTATTATAAAAAACCATAATAACAGTAAATAAACTAAATAATTCCAATTATAAAATACTATTAATAATACTTATTATATTAAAATTTAATCATAAAATAAGTGGAACTTTTTAGTTCCATATTTAATCTGAATATAATCTATCCATCTTCTCCATACCATAATATATCTTTCTTGTGTATGATCCTTTAAATAAGCAGAAATTTTAGCCGTTTCTGCTAAATTAGAAACCTTAAGTGTCCATTCTTCTATAGTACGCAATAAATCTTTCTTCCAGTATTGACCTATCAATAGCCTTGCTGCTGTAATTAAATTCAACATTAAAATAGTTTCTTTGACATCAAAATCCTCAAAAAATGGTTGAGGAGTAAACTTTATCTTCCTTTTAAAAATATTTTGAATGTTCCACCAAATCATAATCCAAAAAGCCTTAATATTTTTACAAGTCCACCAAACATGAAAGTAAGTTGCATCAAAACTACCACATCTCCAACATTTGGGCTGTAAGTTAGAATACATACAAGACAACTTTTTAGGATCCAAATGCCACCTATAAAACATTTTATAAAAATTTTCCCTTAAATTTTGAGCCTGTGTAAATTTAACATTTCTAATCCAAATTATCTCCCATAAATCCAATGGGATCAGTTCCTGGATATTCTAAGCCTATTTAGCCATACAATCTTTAACCAATTCCGTTTCCGAATCCAATTTTATTAACACATTATAAATTCTTTTTATGTGAGCCTTATTCTGATCTTTAATCTGAATTACCAAATTTTCATCTCCTAATGTTATTCCAACTTTCTTATCTAAAGTCCACCTATCCACTATTTGTAAATACTGAAACCATGACTGTAAAATATTTTCTTGCCTTAATACATCTAAAGATTTTAATTGCCAGTCATTACCCGAACAAATAAGTAATTCTTTATATGAATTTTTTTCAAAATTCATCCCCTTAGAGATCCCCTCAATTGCATGTCCAGGAATTCCCCAAATAGGTATTTTATAATTTAACCTATAATAATATTTCTTCCAGACTCGAAGTAGGGCACTTCTTAAAATATGCGATTTAAAAGCCTGATCTACTTTCTTATTAAAAATTAAATATGCATGCCAACCATATAATAAATCCCACCCTTCAATAGAAAGAATATTTTTATTTGTTAAATTAAGCCAATCACTTATCAAAGTTAATGTGGCTGCATCATAATATAATTTCAAATTAGGCGCTTTAAGCCCTCCTCTTTCTCGAGCATCTTGCAAAATCTTAAACTTCACCCTTGGTTTCTTCCCAGCCCATATAAATTTATTGATACCCTTCTGCCACTCATCCAAATTAGCATCTTTTTTAAAAATGGGTATCATTTGAAACAAGAAAAGAAACTTTGGTAGAACATTCATTTTAACAGCTGAAATTCTCCCCAACGACAGTTGCAATTTTTTCCAATCATTTAAATCCTTTTCTACTTTTGTCCATAATACTTCATAATTATTCTTATATAATTTCCCATTAGAAGTGGTTATATATACTCCCAAATATTTAACCTTCTTCATTAGCTGAAAACCTGTAAGTTTAACTAAAATTTCATTTTCCTTCTCAGTCATATTCTTAGATAATATCTTAGTCTTATTATTATTTACTTTGAAATCAGAAACTTTCCCATATTGAGTTATAAGTTCCAATAAATAACTAACCGATTGAATCGGTTGTTGTAAAGTTAACACCAAATCATCTGCAAACGCTCTCAGTCTATACTCATTCTTATTTATTTTTATTCCCTTAAGTATTGTAGACTCTCGAATTTGAATTAACAAAATCTCCATTGTTAAAACAAATAACAAAGGAGATAATGGACAACCTTGTCTTGTAACCTTTTCAATATTAAAAGTCTCTGTCAATCCCCCATTAATAATAATTAATAATAATAAACTCAAATTAATGTTTTTGTACACAAAAGCTCTCAGAAAATATTCCCTTTAAGACAGTGGTTCTCAACCTGTGGGTCGGGACCCCATTTGGGGTCGAACGACCATTTCACGGGGGTCGCCAAACAACGCAGTCCGCCATTTTTTTCCCCCTTTTCCTTAGCTGTGCTACTCCCTTTTATTCTATTGGCTTTTGAAAGCCAATAGAATAGACTCTCTTGAATAGAGTCTAATTCTATTGGCTTTCAAAAGCCAATAGGAATTGTCCAGGCTGTCTCTGCCCTGCTGAGCCCGCCAAAAGTCCCATTCTGCAAACGGTGCTGCACCAATTGAGTAGTCCTCGACTTACGACCGGTTGAGTAGTCCTCGACTTACGACGGGTTGGGGGGTCGCGGCATTAAAAAGGTTGAGAACCACTGCTTTAAGAGGTCATTATACTGTCTTTGCTCCCAAATGAAAAGGCAGGATATAAATAAAATCAAATTAATAAATAAGAAAGTGAGGCAAATAGTGATTGGAAAAAGGGCATAAGGAAAAAACCTATGTTAATTTTTATCTCCAAAGTTAAGACATTTCAGAAACATTTAATTAATAATATGTTTGCAAGATATAAATGCTAAAACCAAATGCAGTTCAGTCTTAACTGGTCTAAAACTGCAATATCTATGGTATATAGCATTCCTTTAGGTGACTAGGATTTTTTTGAGAGGCCAGGTTCAGCAATGGTTGAGACAACTATACAAATAGAAGAATATTTCATATTTATGCATAGGGTCTAGATTTTCTGAGGTGATTATGTTACAATTGTTTATTAGTTTCCCACTTCAGCATTAATAAGAAACCCTCCAGTGTTCAATCATCTTAATCCCAATTTTGCATCAAGTTTCAAGGGAAACACATAAAAGGACATCTATTGGGCTATCTGTTATAGGACCAGGGCAAAATTCACTTAACTCATTCAAATTATATCACTGTTAAAGGGGAAGGAAATAAGAACAAATTCTCTCACAAAAAAGGCTGTTCATGTTAACACCTCCTGTATAAATTATGAAAAGTAGCTTCCTTTGTTGTGAGTTAGGATACCTATTCAATCTGTCAAACTGCCGGCCGGTGGGCCAGATGCGTCATGCCGAAGCTGCGCCCACCCCGTTGCCGGCAATGGAAAAAAAAAAGTCACAATATGTCATGACAAGTCACATGACATTGCGAGTTTGACACCCCTGTATTAAACCAATTGCTTTTGGATGGCCAAAGACTAACAATGTAGATATAGTATGCCTATTCAAAAATAAACCCAAATGAATTCAATTCAATGTGATTATTCCGAGGATAGTTTGCCTAAAACTTCAACTTTGTTGCTTTATCTTAGCCTGCCCAAATGCCATCTTCCTACCTGAGAATTTGGATCCTTGCTTCTTTGTGCTGACAAGAATGCTACAGCCATGAAATATTCAGGCCACTCCAAATAATCATCTCGTTTTTTACAGGTCATCTCACAAGCATACCTATAGAAATTACAAAAAGTGACAATAAATGGTAATGGTTTACATGAACTAAGATTTTTTTAAAAAGAAAATTAAAACCTGTCAAGATACACTTTGACTTCAGTGTTTCAATCTGCAGAAATAAGTCAATTATTGCCATACAGAAGAGTGGCACCAGAGTTTAATTAAGTACAACTAAAAGAGCAGAATCTGACCTTGAAAGTTAGATTCAAATCAAAACTTTAATAGTTAGAAATATTGGGGTTTTATATTTGTCTAGTGGCTTACGAACATTACTTTTCAGACCAAAAGACCAAAAGGAGACTGAATTACCTCATTTAAAACTGCAATTTATAGTGTTTAAGTCATGCAATATTAACTATTATCTATCGCTCAATATTATCTTCTTTGGAAAAATATGGAAAAGGTTACCTTACTTGCCCCAACATTACTGACATTAAGTTGTTTGAATAAAGATACCCTCCACCAGCTATTCTTACAGTAAGAATCTGATGCAGTTTCATTTGTTCCAGCTAAAAAAACCACTGAAAATGAAATATCTTTTTACTGAATATTCTTGCAGGGTCAATGCCTGCTAATAATGATTTTCAATTATACCGCTCATAAGCCATGTTGATAACATATAATCCAATGTCAGAAGTCAAGTGTTCTATTTTGACTGCTTTTGCGGTAGAGTCTAATAATAGGCCTTTTTTACTTTGCGTTTTAGCAAACATGAATAAGCAGGTAGAACAATGATCTTTAGAAAACTTCTACATAGATTTTTCATTTTAGAAAACAGAAACTCATTTAAAATCCTACTGAATTGAATTGCAGGGATTCTTTTTTCACCTAAGATTTTTGTAATATTTTGCAGGGTGGATTTGATTTAAATCACGTTTTAAATCACTAGTAAAAAGACTTGATTTAAATCAACTCGATTTAAATCATAATTTTTAAAGAACAACTGTCATCTCTGTCCTGCAGCGGCTCCTCCTCTGACCCACTGTTGACTCACCAACAGTCCCATTCACTTTAATGGCAGTCACACAACAAGGTGAGGGATGTGGCGGGCAGCAGGTTAGTGGATTCCCGCTAACAGGCACTGCCATGATGGATCTGAAATGACAGGTGCTCTTTAAATGTAAGGACTCATTCTTGCTGGTAGTTAGAATCCTCAATATTATTATCCGCAAACAAAATGAAGGTTTCCTATTTAGAATAATAAACTGTCAGGTTAGTAAAACAGCGATATCAGAACTGATTTTAGGTTAATAGGCTAATCACACATAGTTGGAAAACTACTCAAATCCTTTTATTTAATTAAAACAGAGCCTGGTACAGATGCATTTCTCTTCAAGCAATCATACAGTTTGTAATGTACATAGATTTGCAAAACAATGGGATAAAGGAATATTCCTGAACTTTTTTTTACGATTTATCTCATGGTTACTGTAAAATTGTGTGAATGCATCAACGCAGTGCATGTTATCTCAGCTTGCAGAGCTTGGATTCAATGAATGAGTTTACAAAAAATGTAAATATTGCAGAATATACAGCCTCATGCTACATAACTAAGATCCACTTCATACTGAATAAACCAAATTATTAATGTATCTTAAAAGGAAAACTATATTTAGATAGATTTTTACTCCAAAAGCATTTCATTAAAATAAATTTGATAAAAATAAAAAAACCGTATTTAAATTAAAAAAACTGATTTTAAAAATGTTTAATCGTCTATTATCCACCCTGATATTTTGTCTTTGCCTAAAGACTATACTAAAAATAGATTAAGATGATGAGCATTTGTCCTCACACTAACCAGAAGTTGAACCTGATTTGAGAGCATCAAAGTCACTGAAGAATTTTAAGAACATGATAGGTAATACTTACAATTAAATTGAAAAATGCATCTAGGGAGCTAATCAGCAGATAAACAAATAAAATATGATATATATATATATATATATATATATATATATATATATATATATATATCCTTAATAGTTATAAAAATACGAATCCCGGGCATATTGTTCAATGATGCAATCTTCGATCTCCGGGAAGAGTATACTCCAGTTATTTATTGTTAAAACAACATTTAAAACAATAAAACAGTTATATACAAGAATTAAAACAACTTAGCTTTCGCTGGTCCTCTGCCAGCATCCTCAGAGTGGGGCTTAGGGGGTGGGACGTTCTTTTTATCCCCTTGCTGATCCAATTGCCTACTCATTGCCCTCGTGACAGGGCCACTCTTCCTGATTGCCTGTGACTGCCTTGCCTGTTCCGCCCTCTCTTTTTTGCACGCTAACATTGTATTTTCCTGCTTTGTCATCCTTGTGCTGTCTCCCCCTCCCTGCGCTGTTCTCATTAGCACACTCTCCAATCCCTCCTCCTTATCCAATGCAAGGTGCCTCCTCCGACTCGGCACTACCCGAATCCTATTGAGCTGATAATCTGCCTGCCGTTTTTGCATACCATTGCTGGTTTCTATTTCAACTCCCTCCTCCAACCCCCCTCCTCTCCCAGCTTGCCGATTCATGCACCCTTTGTTATCCATTCCTGTCATCCTTCCCCCCCTTCCTTCAACCCTCCCACCTGTTTATTAACATATTGCTCCTGCCTTTCATCAACCATACTTATTGATGTTCTCTTCCTCAATATCTTTTCCTTCCTGATCCGCTGCTCTACCTGCTGTTCCTGTTTACCCTCCTCCCCCACTGTCCATCTTCCCCTCTCCAATGTCCTCCCCATCATCTGCTGACTTGCCTGTTGTTCATCCATTTCTGTCCATCCTCTCTTTTCTAGCATTCCTCCTCCTCTGACCTGCCGTCCTACATGCTGTTCCCACATGCCAACATCCATTCCTGTTAAACCCTCCTTCTTAAGCTTCCCCCCCCCAATCTGCCGTCCTGCCTGCTATTCTTATCTGCCCTTCTCCTTTCCTGTCAGTCCCCCCCCTCTCCTGTTTCCTCCCCCCCTCTCCAATCCACTGCTCTGTTTGCTGTTACTTCCAGCATTCTTCCTTCCCTTACCTGCTGTCCTACGTACTGTTCCCATCTACCAACCTGCGTTCCTGTTGGACTCTCCTTCCCAAACTTCCCCCCCCCAAACTGCTGTCCTGCCTATTATTCCTGCCTGCCCTTCTCCATTCCTATCCATTCCACCCTGTCTGCAGCTCTACCTGCTGTTCCTGGCTATTCTCCTCCATTCTTACTCCCTTCTCAAATATCCCCTCTCCATCTGTGAATATGCTTCCAATCTTACGTGCCTCATCTTTTCTGTTCTTTTCTCTCTCCCCTTCTCTTTTGATCAATCCTCTGGGGTCGGGCATACCCCTCCCCCGTATTCTGGGCCGTACGATCAATTCCGCTGTTCCCAAGAGTCTTCCCTGATCCCCCTCTCCTTGCAATCCCCCATCACATCCCCCTCCTCTTCCTTTACTACCTTTACCTGTCTGTGACCCTAATATTCCCTAATCTGTCCCCACCTGTGATGTGTCTATGGGATCCTCCCTATGTCTAGTCATGTGGTGAATACCCCCCCCCACCAGTCCTGGTTTTGCCTCTGACAATCGGCATCCGTCTCCTGACATGCTCTTCCTGCACTCTTAGTGCCTGGTACGCCGAGGGCAGTTCTATACATCGGTTGATGGAGTCTGTGTTGGAGAACCAGGCCTCCTTTACTAAGCGTCCTCCTTTGGAGGCGTCCTGGGCAATGGCTTCTGCCTCCTTGAAATCAAAAGAATGTCCGGTATTAATCATGTGCGTCCATATTTGAGAGGGCTAAGGAGGGCTAAGCAGAGGGAGCGTGCACATCTTTATCAAGTGTGTAAGTGGAATGGCTATCCAACTAGCTTCATTCGGAGATACAGCAAACGTCAAGAACCCTGCAGGGCACCGAATGATCCAGGGACAATGGCCCGAACAACAATACCGTATGTCCAGGGAGTATCGGAAGCAACAGCGCACATATTGGCACCTTATAATATTAAAGTTGCTCACCGGCCGGATCAAACACTCTGGATGAAAGTCATGCGCCCTAAAGAGCCATTGCCGAAGGAAGAAAGATCAGCAGTCGCATACAGAGTGCATTGCAAAGACTGCGAATGTAATTATACGGGGGAGACAGCCAAACGAATAAAAACTAGGATACATGAACATAAATTGGCTGTCAGAAGGCAGGAGCAATACTCTCAAATATGGACGCACATATATGTTTTCTGAGGTTTTCGCGGGTATTTGTATGTAGGTCTTTGGTTGTTCGGGTTTTCTCCCGCGTAAAATTGGAAGTATCTTGGCGACGTTTCGACAAAGTCCCATTCGTCATCTTCAGGCTGGTGTTTTCAGCTTTGCTGCTCAAAGCACGAAGCTGAAAACACCAGCCTGAAGATGACGAATGGGACTTCGTCGAAACGTCGCCAAGATACTTCCAATTTTACGTGGGAGAAAACCCGAACAACCAAAGACCTACATATATATATATATATATATATATATATATATATATATATATATATATATATTGTTGTTGTTAATTGCGAAGTCGTGTCCGACCCATCGCGAAACCCGAACAACCAAAGACCTACATACATACATAAATACAGTTCACCATGGAAACAGAAGCTCACAACCAACTTCCCTTCCTGGATGTCTTAGTCTACAAGAAATCCAATGGCTCCCTAGGACACACCATCTACCAGAAGAAAACACACACAAACCGCTATCTGCACGCTCTCTCACACCACCACCCAGCACAGATCAACTCTGTAGCCAAGACACTCATCTCCAGAACAAAACGCTTAGCTGACGAACAACACCTAAAACCCGAACTACACACTCTCACCAATGTACTAACATCCAATGGATTCCTTAGAAATAAGATTACAAACCTAATCCAAAAAGAAACCCCCACCAAAATCCAAGACAAAGAACAAGAAAACGGCAAAGCCCTCCTCCCATACATAAAAGGCACCACAGACAGAATCAGTAAGATCCTTCATAAACACAACATCA